ATGTTTTTAATATAAATACACCTAAAGAATTCTGATTTTGGCTATTCAGAAGATTACCCATAAGGATTACATAAGAAACTTCACACTCTTGCATCTTGTCCAAATGCCTGGTAAGGTACCTGATTTTTTGTGAGGAAATTTGTTTTAGTACCTATACGTCAGTGCCAAATTCTTCGGGAACAGTATAAATTTTTAAGTATTGTGTTGTTTAACCAAAAAGGTTTAAAAACATTTGAGTTTTAACACTAAATAAAATAGCCTGCTATGATTTACTATTTTCATTTAATTTTTTAACAACATCATCTATAAATATTGTGAATTTATCCTAATTATTTCGAGTTCTAATTTTGAATACAAATCAAACAATGAAAGCTGGACTGAAAGTTGACTATTTTTTGTAAGCTTAGTTGAAATTCAGTGTGAGAATATAAGATTTATAAGACAACTTATCTAATATCTTATAACTTGTGTATTTCTTGTTTTATCTATTACATGTATATATAATTGATACAATTATAATTATAACCCTCAACAATACTAATACAATAAATATTTATAGAGTTCTACTTTTATTCAGTTTGTTTTTTAATTCATGTTTATACACACATATCTACAAAAATCGCGATAGTGCATGTGCCTCTACCTACAAATATCGTCTGCTACAGAGCACGTGTTGAAACAGACATCAGTTCTGCTGCTGCTCTGATAACAATGCTAAGCCCTGCCCCTCAAGCCTTATATGCTTAATTGCTGTCGGGGTGTAAATTTTTCTAGGTCACTCTCGGCCTTTAAACTTAATTACCTACTTGAACTATTTTCTCACTCGTAGTATTTCTAAAGATAGCTTCAGGACCCCGTGCTAATCAAATGTTGAACCCGATTTGTTTATGTTTTAGACATACAGAGTTGTCGTTCGTTCTTCTCTCAAACGTGAAACGTAATAGGTGTACTAAAGTTACTATTCGTTTTATTATTAGCTATTATTTATATTGGACTTTTTTACATTAATTAAAATCAATTGTTATAATAAATTCGCCATAACACACGGTTTTTGATATGATAATAACGATAAAGATTGGGAAGTGGGTCGAATACGATTTAGCGAGTTGTTTGCCCTTAGTTTGAGACAATTCGTTTGGAGTACCATGAAACGGGGCAAACATCTTGAGAGGTCGAAAGGTCAACAAAGCAAATGTGTTTCTCTACGAGTCTTTGATTATAACAACCACCTTTTTACTAACTTATCCCAGTTGCTCTGTTTTCAGAGTTGTTGGTAGGGCTGTTGATGCAAGACAAGGTTTAACAAGTAACTCTGTGTTGGTCGTTGTCATGGAATGCTGGAATTTTTTTACAGCAATAAATGAACAGGTTATGTTGTAGCACTAGTTTTTGCCGAGCGTAAATCAGATCCTTCCCTGTGGATTTTTTTTTTTTCAGAAACCCGGGCAAGACGCCTCTCACTAGTCTCTGATTTCGATTTTTCTAAAATATATTTTTGAATTGGAACTTAGATTCTAATATATGAATATAAGAATGTCATATAATTATATTTTTTTTCTTTCAAAATCAGGCATGTATTTTGCTACAGCACTTATTAAAATATATGTTGGACTTCATGTCCAATGATTTCACATAAATTTTCAGACACGGAAATTAAAGCCGCTGAAACCCAGAAATATAATGCTGAACGAGAGAAGAAACAACTGAATTCAGAAAAGAAGGTTACCAGTGCAATGGAGATATTTAAAAAGTAAGAAAATAGCCTTATTTCACTGATACTTTACTTTACTTTACTTTTATACTTCAGTTTTATAAACGAACGTGACTTTTGTGGAGTGTGTATATACATACTGTCGAGGTCATCCGAATTTACGCCCGCAAGAATAAATATTTAAACTATTAATGGGTTTTACAAAGGATTCTTAAAGATAGGGTAATAGGTATGACAATCTTCTTCATGAGTATGCATGAAAATATCTGTTCCAGCAAACCTTTTTTTTTATTTCAGTATGAGTGGTTCAAATATAACGGCTAGTGGATGTAAGTATTTAGTCATGAAATATACGACTTCAATTAATGATCTTCAACATTCTTTATGATAAATGTTTCTAAAGATAATAAATTTAAACCAAAACTAATTTAAAAATTGCATATTTCTATGGTTATTCACAATTTGAAACTAATAATAATGTAAAATAAAATTATTTTGTTCTCAAAAGCGGGTACACCAAAAATCAAGCCAAAAGCAGACGTGAGGTAAGCTATTATTTAATGTTGCTGATAGATGAATTAAATTTTTGAACAACTTTCTGTCTCATAGCTCACTTACGCTTGGCTTTTACATTGACATTTGATAAGTAACGAAAGTTGTCACCCTGTGCCACCTCATGAATTGTCTCACCTCACGCGACATGCTCTTAACTTTTCAAATTTACCTATTAATTTAGGAATACTATTTTAGAAAACATCCTTGGTTTATTCAAAATAAAAGATTGTTAATGTTTATTTTGTTTTACAATCTTCACAAATTATTTAAAGCCTGTATAACTCTTTCAGGGTTATACTATTTGAAGTGCATCATAATTGTGCATTTTTCAAAAATCACTCGAACGATCATCGCTTTATTTTTGTAAATGTTTAAATATGTCCTTTTTTGCGCAACGTACAAACAAAATTTATTGTAATTATTTGATATTTACTTTTTAGGAATTGCAATAAAGCTGCAGTGAATGCAGGTAATTTTTAAATTACTTGCAAAAACTCTGTATATGACTTCAAATACAATACTAGTAATAATTAGTGACATTTATACAAATCATAACCCCTAGTGGCAGTGTTATCTAAATTATGGATTGAAAATGAATAAATTAACGACAGAGCCTTCATCAGCAATATTAATATGTTATAATAATCGAAAGTGTGTTTATTTCATTTCCCCGGGGCGACAGGGAGGGGGGCATACTAGATGTTAATTTTTTTTAACATTGTAATATGAAAAGGGGGAAGCTTCAAAACATTTCTGAAAAGCAGAAGTATCTGAAGAAAACATTTTGACTACGACGATTCAGATAAGCAATGTGACCAAGATAAGCTTTTTTTTTTATTGTAGATGATGAAGAAGCTGCTAAAGCTTTACTCCAAAAAGATGTGGATTTAACAAACACTGAAGAAGACAGGTACATTATATATTTCAGCAATAATAATATAGTGATGGCAATAAATGAGTTCACAAAATGGTGGTGTCGTCGATATAAAAAAATGATTGTATAATAAAAATATGTTTTTTTTTTGTGAAACCTGCTTACAGTACTTACCTTTTTTTTCTTATAGTAGTATATTGTTATTTGCAGGAATTCTCCGAGGAATTTTTTGAACAAACTATATATGTAGCTATAGTAAAGTGGCAGAGCTTTCCATGTTTCATGTTTTTTGCATTACTCTTTGGCTTTTTAAATTGGTTTTGTATGTCTCTGTAAAAGGGTTTTTAAGACATTTATTATATTTAGATTACATTTAGATCCGGCCATTATAAAGTATTTATATTGTTCTTGGCCTTCAAAAGTCCAAAAACAATGCAAAATAGGAGCAAAGCAAACGCAGGCGTCCAAAACATCAGGGGCGGGATCAGGTGCCATGGAATAACTGAAAAATCCGTCATCAATTCACTATTAAAACACTAACAATTACATGTAGTATGATAAACGTCAATCAGCATTTGACTCAATGATAAATTGTATTTGCTGTTGCTGAATTGCTGACAAGGTCATCGACGATAGAACTTACAAAATGATGACTTAAAACGAGACTGCTGAGTGTAAGATCAGCTAGACTTAAACTATGATATACATTGAAACGGAAATTTTTGTAGCTATCTTTTATTGTCTTGCTTTTATGTATTTTAAGCACATCTTAAAAAAGTTGGTTTTAATGTTAAATGACGAAAGATTCGCAATTTCATAAGCAGTTTTGATCATTACTTATATTAGTCTTTAGATTTTATATGATATTCTTACTTACATATGTCAACTGGGTTTTTTATTCATTGCACCTGATACCACCTCTAATGTCTCGGATGTCCGTATTTGTTCTGCTCCTATTTTGTATTGTTTTATGGACTTTGATACTGCGCTGCACAGTTAAGGTGCGCAATGTAAATATCAACTAAATTTTGTATTTAAAAATGTATTCGTAATCGGGATGGCGATTATTTTAAGTACATTATTTATATCAGATAATTGTAATTATGATTAATAACTACATATCGAGGACGATTATATTTTATATTTAGACTAGTCACGTGATGCGGCAGTCACGCGATTTTACCACATTGACTTGAAGTATTGATGTTACATATAAAAGTCACTAGTGCAAGGGCATAGTCAAGTTAAATTTCCAAGTTTAGTATATAAATATTTTCAACACGCATTATAGTTTTTAAAAAGTGCTGCAATCCTGTCTAAATTCTGCAATTTCATTGTTAAAATTATACTTGTATGACCGAATGCTATATTTTTTGCTGGTTAGCGGCTTGAAATATTGATATAATTAAATTGTTTTTAAGATTTCATCAGGATCACAGCACTTTTCAGGTACCTTAATAGTTCTATAGTTGAAATGTAAAAGCTTACTTTGATCCATAGTGTGTATGCCCTTGCACTAGATCGATTTATTAAGACCCCCACATGACCCTCCGATGTACTTGCATACAAATATACGGCAGTGTCAATTAAGTACGTAATGTACAGAAAATATATTAATAAAATAGTGAAGAAGACATTAAATTCAAGTTATTGCCCCATAGAATATCTGTAAATAATATTTTATTTAATTAGAGAATGCATATTTTGTTGAGAAAATATTACTTGATCTGTCTCTCACTGCATACAAATTACGTCACGTTGTAAGAAATGACGTCATATTGACAAGTGTATTGCGATCAGTAACTAGTTTATAACTTGTTATATGGGATTTAACTAACGACAGAACAACACGCTGTAGTAAGTTTTTATGTAGTTTGATGATTTCTTACTGGTTAAATTAGCAGTTAAACTCATTTTGTGGTATTTTAAAGAAATGTTGTATGACGTATATTGTGTATGATGTCATAGTCAAGTTTTCCCGTACAAATTAGGCTCCGCCTCCTTTTTGTAACCTTAACTGTGCTGCGTGAATACTGTTCGTTGTCTCCATGGCCTTCCTTTACACGTATATGTGATTATCGGCGTTAGTTGTAGTGAAAATCATAATAGTCAGACAGAAAACAACTTGAGAATTCGAATGACCGAACGACGACAGTTAATTAGAAAACTAAATTCTAGACATCAGTGCATCCTTGTCTGCCAATACATTAGAAACTGTATCAACCCACCCCCTCTCCTTTTTCTTTTTTTTTCTTTTTTACAAATTTTGAGAGGATCTTACTTGCAGAAAAAAAACTTGAAACAAAAAAAAAAATGTTTTACAAACAGAGTGAAGTGGTGCTTTAATAACTGGATATGAAACATATTTTATATTGTCAATTGCAATTATGGAATATTTTTGCTTTTCTTACAGGGTTTTGGAAGATTTAGCTGTGCGTAAACCTTTGCAATTTGCTTTAATTGTTTTTTTTTTATTTTATGCATGCAATTTTTGACTGAATTTGTTGTGTTTAAATCGAAAACCATGCGGGAGAAAATGGTGAAAGCATTGTAAAGAAATTTTTAAAGGTTTTGTTTTCATTTCTCCATCAGTATTTACTAATTAGATTTGAAAATCATGACGCTTAAAAATCCATAATTTTTATTATAATTCGTAATCTCCCATTGCGAGGCTCCGATCTCCTTGCATTTCACTGACTTTGTGAAACAGCCAAAATAAATAGGAAAAAAACACCATATAAAAAAAATATCTACAGAAACGTAAAGACTATTTTTCTCAAAGAAAAGAAAAAAAAGCCAACTGAAGGTTTTTAAGAAGATAAAAAACAATAGCAAGTTCACATATTTTTTTTTTTTCGTATTGATTTAAATAAGGACACAATTTCTGTGAAAACTTTTGATACTTTAATTATGTCTCTACGCTTCAAAATACGTAATTATTCCAAAATATATATTAAATTATCGCTGCAAACTCAGACTTTGAAAAGATAGTCCGGAAATATAATCGTGTCAGCCTTTTTTTTTTAATTATCCCTCATATTAATTGACTTACAAATATTGATGAATTAAATTTGAATGGAAAAAATGAAAGATACCGAACGGAGATCGATCTATAAAACCTATAAAGTCTACGAATCACCAAACATACAACACCGACCTCTGGAAACTTCATAGGAGAATCAGGTGTTTAAAAAGAAGTAAGCTTACCCTCTTTAGCGGCCACACACCCCTTTAGCCTGTTGTCTTGATCAGATAGATAAAGTATTTGCATGTTTGTTTAAATAACACTCTTTGGAGAGTTTTTTACTCACTTTAAAACACCACGACTTCCCATGGGGGCTGAAATTTAAAAAAAAAATGATCGGCTCGTAGGGGCCCTTAAGCTGTTAGTGGTCTTTTTTATGTCAGCACCTACTGCGACACAGCATTTCGATCCACAAGAGTTCATGCAAAAGACCGGTCTATAAAATAATCCAAAATATGATTCATCAGATCAATTACTGTTTTTGGTATATATTTACCGTTTTCAAATACTTCAGAGAAAAAGAGAGAGATGATGATGATGATATACCGGTGTTATCCCCAAATACTCTTACCTACAACCCTGTCTATAAGGACTCCTAAACTTCATAAAAATAGATACAATGGCAGATTTAACAAATGCTCTACCAATCCTTTATCTTTCATCCTTCTGTAAAGGAGACACTGTAATCGTACTGTGTCACAGATTCTACTACGATTATTGCAGTGATCAAAGAAATGCCGCGAACATTATTCTCCAATAAATCACAAACGTCATAAAAAAATTATCACATCAGAAACACTCATCAGACCTGTGCAGTTAAAATGTAAATCCTTAGAATGTAATATTTATTTTGACCAAATTGGTGTGTCATCTTTTGCAATTTAAATTCTGCAGACTACTACATTTGTATATTGCAGAGAGTAGCGGATGAATGTAGATTTCTAAAGCCAAGCGAGGCTGTTTCACAAACCTCCCTACGCCATATTTAAACTCCGTGATCTTAATGATAATGTGGTAAAAAAAGAAACTGATTTTGTAATTAATCTATATAAGCTACAAACGATTTATTATTTATAAAAGGCTAATTTTAACACCGCGAAAGCTCAAATCCCCTGCAACAAATTTACACTCTGGTGCTAAATAAATGGAACAGCGTTATCGCAGCATGGTGACCTTACTCGTTTCTCTTTAGTGTAACGATCAGTCGTATTTAAGAGCTGCTAGTACGTGTAGTAGAATAGAAATAAAGTCCATGTTGTCGTGAATGATGCACAATAACCTCCTCGGTCTCGAAATGTTGTTTGAAATATAAAAGCTTTGCTAACGCCTCGGCTTTAATCTTTCAAACAAGATTTTACGACCTCGGAGGTTATTCTGCAATATTCACGAAAACGCGGACTTATTTCTTAAACATCACGCCTTCTTGAATGCGATCACAATTCTTACTTTCAATTTTCTCATCTGCAAGTTCTCTTATGTCTAATCTAAGATGAGCTTGTATAAATATTGACAAATTTAAATATACAGACTGATAGAACTTTTTCTCTCAATGCCAACCTTCGACGATGTATAAAATATCTGCCTTTTAATTTATGTGGGTGGTATATTTAGAAATAGAAAAGGATCGAAATATTTTTATAGTTCAATTAAAGATGTAATGTAAATGTTTATTGATATTGCAGAAACAACTTGATGGTTACGCATCATGATGTGACGTGTACTGTAGTTTCTATAATTTTTCAATATCGACAGCGAGATGAAAAGGAGATTCAGCTACATGTAATGCATAATCTGTGTACATTTTTACGTATGGATTTTTATATAGTAGCTTGTTTTGTTTCTTTTATAGTTGTTTTTTGTTACTTTTATATGTTATTTGTATTCAAAATACCAAATTTTCTAATCTTAGACCAGGATTTTCCACAAAGAGTTTAATCATGGCGGTGGGGGTGGGGTTGGTTATCAACTAATTAGCCATCAGATGTATATTATTTTTGTAGGTATGATATCTTAAGCTGTCACAACTATCATTTAGCAAAAAAATCAAACATTTAAGATTTAAATTTTGAATATTTTTGTATATCTTTATATGGAGCTTTTCTTCAAAAGTAGAACAATATTGTATTAAAATGTTAACAACTACCCAGCCCCTTTAATGACATTGGGCATGTTTTACAAAAGAACTTTTGACTACGATCAAATTTGAATTTTGCTTTTAAAATTCTAAACTGCATTAAACAGAAAATGATGTGACATTGTTAAATGAAATGTAGGGGGATAATTTTACATTATCAATTTGAAACGTAATTTTTGATCATGCTTGAGCCTTTATTCAACTAAAAAAATTGGTCTTATTTATAAGTTCCTTTGTTAAACGTGCCCCAGAGTAGTTAAATATTTTTTACGACAGGCAAGCACATCAAGAGAATGCAGACTGTGGTAAACAAAAAGGGTTGTTGATCTGCAAATCTCTGAATATCGGCCTTAATGCTGATCACGACTCGTAAATATGCATACGCTATTTTCGATCTCATTATTTACGATACATCAACCCTAGGGTCTACTCTATAGATTCGCCACACCTGACTGCTTTATTGTCATGGGTATCGTCTTGGAATGGCGACCCGTGTTCGTGCTGGTTATCTTGCATAACCTTTGTTTACATTTTATTGCAGTTATGTGTATCTGTGTTTGAATACTACACTAACAAGTATTAACTATAGTCATCAGTTTCTTTGATATCTTACTATCCTGCATAAGACGAAGTACTACTTTATTATTGTCAATATCAAGTGCTGTATGGCATACGTCTTTCGACACTAGTGTCGAATGATTTCACTGAAGAGAAAAAGTAATTCCCTTTATATAGGGGTCTGCAGGTATGACGATTCTCCAAACGTAAAAAGTGGACATATTCCTTTTACGATTTTTTTTTTTTATTTTGGAGAGTTACTCTGATTTTTTGCTTTGAAGTTGCTAAGTTTTGTGAGATCAATCATTGATTTAAATGAACTTTGAATAATCTTAATAGGCTTTGGTGCTCTTGATCACATTTCGCTTTCGCACAGCGACCTCCATGATTAAATTTTCAAATATGGAACACCTTGTTAATCTATTACTATGAATGATTCATACTCTAAATATTTGAGTTATATGTATTATTTGTTTTTACTTGATTCACATGTTCTCATGTCATTATATAATAGTCGGTGTAAAACAAGTACATGTATGATATGCACATCCTTTAAATTTGAAGAATTTTCTTGTTCAAATAGTTGCATAAATGTTGTACTAATGTGAAATATCCTAAATATTATCATCAAATCACGTTTTCATTAGCTATGTCAAGACTGTCTGAAAGCTTCAAATGTATGAAATGCTATTTGTCTATTTTGAGATATGTTTTGATTCGATGATTGTAACTTTTTTTTATTCACACAAAATAAATGTATCTTCATTTTTACTTAATTATCACTTTTCCTATTCTAATACATACACAATCTATCAATTCTTACTCCCTGTATTGATTGATTGATTGATTGTATATTGTTTAACGTCCCTCTTGAGAATTTTTCACTCATATGGAGACGTCACCGTATGCCGGTGAAGGGCTTCAAATTTAGACCTATACTCGGCACTCAGGGCCATTGAGCAGTGAGGGTTCTTTATCGTGCCAGCGCCTACCGTGACACGGGACCTACGTTTTAAGGTCATATCCGAAAGACCCGTGACTTTCACTTCTAGTGCCGAGCGCTTGGCGAAGGAACAGTCGCTACCTTTGTTTACGTCTTAGGTATGACGCGGCGCCCCGAACGAGAATCGAACCCGGGCCTCCCAATCACGAAGCCAACGCTCTACCACTAGGCTACCGTGACCGGTCCCTGTATTGAGTAATATGTACAATTAAGTATAACAAGACCATTGCAAAGACACCTGATTTCAACATCAACCAATAAATTACCATTTAGAAAGGGATATACATGTTCAAATTATGATACTCTCCCAACATATCTGCTCAAATTTTCAATTCTAATTACTGGCCCATCAAGTCTGCTTAAAATTGCAATTCTAGATAATCTCCCATAATGTTTGCTCAAAATTGCAGTTCTAGAAATCTCCCATAATGACTGCTAAAAATAATATCCCATTATGTGTGCTCAAAATTGCAGTTCTAGATTATCCGACATCATGTCTGTTCAAGTTTGCAATTCTGGATAACCCCCATCATAACTGCTCAAGTTTGCAATTTAAGATAATCCCCCATCATGTTTGCTCAAGTTTGCAATTCTAGATACCCCCAATCAAATCTACTCAAGTTTGCAGTAGTAGATAATTCTCTATCATATCCGCTCAAGTTGTCAGCTTTAGGTACTCAAGTTTGAGATTCTAGATAACCATCATGTCTGCTCAAGTTGTGACTTCTCAATACTCCCCCATCATGTCTCCTTAAGTTTGCTGATATGGATAGTTATACCGGTAGATAGGTAAGAGAAGTGCTATTACTGGTACATGCACACTGTAATATTTTTCGAACAGCTTCATCCTAGTCGCGCAGTATTTTAGTATTTTAACTATAGTGTGGAAATGCGGGTAAATAACTTTACATCTTTGAAGAGAAATTGTAAACCTACTTTGAAATCAAGCAAGCAAGACTTAATTTTTGGCGGAAATGTAGCATATCATGCATATGGAAATATCGAATTTTCTGCTTCTTAAAATTTCTACAGAACAACAATTCTATTAAAATTTCATAATCAATTGAAGATTAAAAGACATTTTTGAAAGACTGCAATTAATAAGTATGGATTAAAGTTTTAAAATGTTTCAAATAAGAATGATTTTCTTCACACATAGCTTTAAAAGCTTCAAATCTAAGAATGTATTTGAGCAAAAGAAAATCTTAAAAAAGGGTATTTTCTCTGTTTATAAACGGTTATAAATTTTTTTGTGTGTGTTTGTTTCATTTTTTTGTTTTAAGCCCTTCCCTTGATGAATAAAAGAAGAAAAAAGTAAATATACAAAGTACATTTAAACTTTTTTTGACAAAAATTAGAAAAGACTGAAGAATTTTGGATTAGTCAAATTACTACGTTATTGATTATCATCTGATACGCCTTATTCTATATTGTGATCTAATGCAAAAAGAAAAACAATATTTTGAAATATAAGTAAACACAACCTGATTGCCAAGAGTGTTACGCTGTATGTGTAAGTATTAATTCTATGGAAAAAGAAAATGACTTTGACCAACCTTGCTCCTGTAATATAAACATGTTTAAACTCAATATACTGTATAGGGGGAAAATAACTCGCGGTGTTAATATTCGCTATATTCACGGTGTTAATAAATCCGTGAATTCAAGAAACAGTGAATAAATTTTTTAAATAATCTCCATGTTTTATTTTAAATTAAGGAATAGAGTACGATAGGATTATACACATGTACCGTCAATGCATGGTCATTTCAGTGATTACAAGTAGTTATCATTCAATTATTATAATTATCACGCTTGACTTTAATTAAAATCGGCAGATAATAACTTGCTTTTGTTCCAAAGCTGTTTTGATAGCCAACTCTACATGTTTCATCAATCAAAAAACGTGAGCCATGGGTTTTGATAACCCGTGCGTAACTTATTTGTTACCACGTGTATTTGTTACCTGCATAATCATGCATATTTGGTTTTATCTAGATTTTGGTTTTAATAAGAAATCGTTCAAATAAATATCAAACTTACTGAGGATGTGGAAGTATATTATTTCGTCGAACTACATAAACACATTTGTTTCCGTCCAGTGGTTTTTCGCCGCGTTGTATTGAAGATCTTGGGTGCACATGCACTCAACATAATAGCATATAGGAAAGTCATTTGACGTTTAGAATGAAGGACTTTCAATACCTGTCCTTGTTTAATTAATTATTTAATAAATCCAACAATTTTATATTTACCTACCCCGTTGAAATAAAGACATGACGCTGATGAATTTCGTTAACATGAAGCTATATAGACAAGGGAGGTAACTTTTATAACATACCAATTCCGCGAATTCAAGAAACCGCGATCGTGTCAGATGAGAGAATAACGCGAAAATTACAACCCGTGAAATTAATCCCCTATACAGTAGGTGATACTATTACCAAGTGATGTTGTCCTCTTGAATCTTTAATTTCAAAATACATTGATTATAAGAATAATCTCTCCTTACATGTAAGTCAATTAATTTATAAAAATTGTACATTAATGATTTATAGACTTATTTTATTCGCATATGTACTTTAAAATTGATATATCAATTTAAATTTATTAAATATTTCATATATATGTTAATTTATTAGAGTCACATTATAATTTCATTGATATTCAATTAGGAAATTATATTTTTTGAGTGTTAAAGGGCTAAGAAGACTGCAGCTAATTTTTAAATTATATATTTTAATTGATTTTACTTCCAATTAGATTAATTAGAGCCAATTAGAGCCAGAATAAAATCTTCATGTATTTTATTTTTATATCAACAAGGAAAAACAAAAATTGAATCTGACTAAAGCAGTCTATATTTCTAGAAGATATAGGTATGATCATTGACTAAGTGATTGTCCATTATTTTTTGTGTTTTTATTTATTTATTTTTTTTTTGAGAAATGTATAGAGTAAATATATATATAAACATTGGAAATCGTTAATTGTTATGATCAAAGACGTGTTTAAATACATATGCATTTATAACTAAATGAGTATAAACATTTGCATGACGAGTTTACAAAATTTTTGTTTTATTGTAGTTATAAATGTAAATCTTTGAAAAGAAACATGTATTATGACTTGTTTCATCTTTGTCCCTGGCATCACTGAACAGGTCCACCTATGGGGATAATCTTGGAAGTAAGGAAGATAACTAGTTTTACGCTCCAAATAATGAATATGTTACTTTTCTTGAACTGAAATTAGGGACAAAATCCTGCATACATGTAGCGACTAAGTTTGCGGTTTTATACAGATCCCTCAAATTTTTCGAGTAAGCAATGCAATATAACTGATACACTCTTTTTAGGTCAGGTGACCTATTGCCATCTGTTTTCGTCCGTCGTCGTTCGTCGTGCGTCGTGTGTTAACATTTGAACATTTTCAGCTTCTTCTCTGCAACCACTGAACCAATTTCAACCAAATTTGGCACAAAGCATCTATGGGTAAAGGGGAAGAAAAATTGTGAATTTCATGATCCCTGCCCCCCTGGGGCCTGGGGGTTGGGGCCAAAACCACTAAAATTAATGCAATCTTTAAAAATCTTCTTCTGTACTCCTGGCCATCAAGCGGTCAAACTGTTTGCATGATTGTAATCAGCATTGAGTCCTTTACCAAAATTGTGAAATTCATGGCCCTAGGAGCAGGGGCACTTGTGCTAGGGTGGGGCTAAATAAGTATATAGTGAAAATGCATTATTTCTTTGAAAATCTTCTTCTCTGCTCCTGGTTATTAAATAAACTAATTAAGTACATAGTTATGATGAGCAAGAGTGCCTTTACCAAAATTGTGAATTTTATGGCCCCAGGGTCAGGGGTTATGGTGTTAGGGTGGGGCTATATTGATTATATAGAGAAAGTACATGAATTCTTTGAAAATCTTCATCTTTGCTCCTGGGTATTATATAAGCTAACTAAGTACATAGTTATGATGAGCAAGAGTGCCTCTAACAAACTTATAAATTTTATGGCCCCAGGGTCAGGGGTTCTTGTGTTAGGGCGGGGCTCTATTGATTATATATTAGAGAAAATACATGAATTCTTTGAAAATCTTCTTCTTTGCTCTTGGGTATTAAATAAACTGACTAAGGACATAGTTATGATAAGCAAAAGTGCCTCTACCAAATTGTGAATTTTATGGCCCCAGGGTCAGGGGTTCTGGTGTTAGGGCGGGGCTCTATTGATTATATAGTGAAAATACAAATGTACATGAATTCTTTGAAAATCTTCTTCTCTGTTCTTAGATTTTATATAAACTAATTAAGTAGATAGTTATGATAAGCAAAAGTGCCTCTACCAAAATTGTGAATATTATGGCCCGAGGGTCAGGGGTTCTGGTGTTGGAGGGGGGTATATTGATTATACATGTATAGTGAAAAAAACATTAAAACTGTACTTATATAATGAAAATGAATGAATTGTTTGAAATGTGCTCTTTGGTATTAATCAAATATTTTTTAAAAGCATGAATGCCTTTCAAAAAATTGTACAATGTGTGGATCTAGGCCTAAGAGTCAAGGGTTCATGTGTGGTATCGGCACTACTCATAATTGCTGAATATTACTGATTTGTTAAAATGCATTTTTTGTTCCCCTGCCCTGCCTATGGGTATTAAGTAACCAAACTAAGGAACTGCTAAGTGTATAGTTATGATGACCAAATTGTAAATGCTATAGCATCTGGCTTAAAACATTGATCAAATTCAATCACTGGAAAGTTGTTGAATAATGCTCTGGTGACCTATAAGGCCAAGGGGCCTCTTGTTTCGAATCGTGTTCAGTTTT